CGTCCCCGCTGCCCTCGTACTTGCCCAGCGCCGCCAGCCCGTTCACCTGCAGAGAAAGGAAATGTCAGCAGCCCCCGTGGGGTATGGCCCATGGGGTCCCTGGGGACACAGCCTTCAGGGTCCCCCAGCCCATGGGGACACGGTCCTTAGTGTCCCTGTGCCCTCGCAACAACACAGCCCTCGGCATCCCCCTCCCATGGGGACAGAGGCTTCGGCGTCCCCCACCTCACTGGGGACAACCCTCGGTGTTCCCCGTCAGCCCACGGGACGTGGCTTTTGGCATCTCTCTTCCAACAGGGACAGAGCCCTGGATGTCCCATGTCACCCCAGGTGTGGGTGCATGGTCCATCCCACAGGGACCTGGCCCTCGGCATCCCCCATTCCCCTGTGGAGCCACAGCCCTCACTGTCTCCCATGGGGACAGTACTGTGTCCCCTCCATGGGGACCATGGTCCTTGGCATCCCTTGTCCTGTGGGGCACAGCCCTTGGTGTCTCCTGTCACCCTGTGGGACACAGCCCTCAGCATCCCCTATCCCAAGGGGCACAGTCATCAGTGTACCCCCTCCCACAGGGACACAGCCCTTGGTGTCCCCATCACCCTACTGAGACACAGCCCTTGGTGTCCCTCACAGGACGCAGCCCTCAGCACCCCTCTCTTGCAGGGGCCATCCCCATCACCTCTGCGCGCTTGACGAACTCCTCGGTGGCGGCGGTGGCGTTGTCCCGCTGCCCGCGCCAGGCGCTGAGCGCCGAGGCCTGCAGCGCCCGCCCGTAGGAGAAGGTGAGGGCCCATGGCCGCATCAGCGGGCACGTGTTGATGGCGTTGAGGTTGATGGAAGCTTCCTCCTCACTCTGACCCCCAGAGAGGAAGGTGACACCTGCAGGGAGTGGGGTTATGGCACCAGGAGGACCGCGGGGCATCCCCCTCCTGGTCCCCGGCACATCCTAGTGCCAGTACCTGGCACGGCCGGGGGCACAGTGCGGCGCAGGGCGGTCACAGTGGCCATGGCGATCTCCTCAGGGCTGTACTTGGTGGGGCAGGAGTGCCCAGGGGTCACCATGTTGGGTTTCAGCAGGGTCCCCTCCAGGTAGACATGGTGGTCACTCAGTGCTTTGTAGACAGCTGCCAGCACCTGGGGAGAACGGGCAGCGTGGAGTCTCCCGGCACGGCATGGCACAGCACGGCACGGTGCCCACCCTGCTGCCTGCTCCGCTGCTCACCTTCTCCGTCACGTACTGGCACCGCTTGAGGTCGTGGTCACCATCAGGCAGGATCTCCGGCTCCACAATGGGCACAATACCGTTCTGCAGACACCAGAGAGATGCCATCATGGGGATGTCCCTGGGCATCCCCCTGGCCCCATGGTAATGTTGGGCCAATGCCTGGACCTGGGTGGCAATGCTCAGCCCCAAGATTCAGTGTCCACCCTTGCTGGTGATGCCCATTCCAGTGGAGTGATACCCAACCTAAGAAGGTCAATTTTTGGCCCCACAGAGCAATGCCCATGTTTGTGGGGTGCTGCCCAGCCCCATGTTGCAATGCCTCATCCCACGGTTGATGCCCATCCCATGGGGCAATGCCTGGTCTGAGGGGTCAATGCCTGTCACGTGAGGTGTTACCTAGATTATGGGTTGATGTCCGGCCCCATGGGGTGATACCCAGGCATGGGGACAATGCTGAGCCCTGTGGGGGGCATTGCCCCCCATCCCTGTGGGGCAATACGTGGCCCCTTAAGTCAACACCCACCCTATGGGTCAGTGCCCATCCTGTGGGGCGATGCCCATCCCCAGACATGTACCTGCTGGCAGATGCTGGCATAGCGGGCCAGGACGTTGGCGTTCTCCATGATGGCGAGCGCGGAGGGGGTGTTGTCACTGATCTTCAGCACGCAGCGCCACTTGGCGAAGTCAGCCCCATCCTTCTTGTACTGGGCACAGCGCTCCGACAGCCCGTCCAGACCTGCCGAGCAGCGTGTCAGCCCCACAGCCACGAACCCCACAGCCTCCATCCCCCTAACCTGCTCCACCTACCCTGTGTGGTGGTCTCGCCATCCGTCCCAGCCAGTGGCACAACACCCTTGTCCACCTGCAGAGAGAAAAGAAAGGAGGCGCTGAGACCCACCAGCACCATCCAAGCACCCTCAGGACCCCACAAACCCGCCGGACACCCTCCACACCTTGATGCCCACAACAATGCCCTTGTCCTTGATCATCTGGACGAAGGGGGTGCCATCATCAGCCTTCTGGTACATGGTCTCGTGGAAGAAGATGACGCCCCCGATGCATTTCTTCACCCGGCTATCGGCGCTGAAGAGGATCTGGCGGTACAGCCGGCGGTTCTCCTCCGTGTTCTCCACCCCAATCTGGTTGAGGCGCTTCGCCATGCTCCCTGCTGCCACCCAGC